CTGGATGCCCATCCACATCTCCTGGCTGTGTGAAACTCCATCAAGCTGTGCTTTGCCTTCTGAACACACCAAGAAGGTGACTGCACAGAGAAAATGACAATTTTTGTCAGGACCCAGGGAATCCATGCATGACCACACACAACCTTTCACCGAGGGTGAAGCTCTTCGCCCTGCAGAGCCCCTCAGAAGCCAGGGCAGAGAGGCTGGGATGCTCCCACCATCCAAGTAACAGCCAGAGTCACTCCCCTACCCCCACTGGAGCCCAGGCAAAGCTTACTGGGATGGAGGGAGGTGTGTGGTGCTCATTGCCCATCCCATGGCTGGGTGAATCACAGCACCTCCCAGCCTGGAGAAGAGCCAAGGATCTGGATGCAGCACTGACCAAATACACACAAGCTCCCTTTTATAGAATCCCAGAATGGTTTGGGTTGGAAGGCACCTTAAGATCACCCAGTTCCACACCACTGCCTCAGACTTCTCTGGAAACTTCCTAAATGCTCCTGCTTTAGCTGGTGCAAACATGTCCTAAGGAACCTCATGGTAGAAGTTAGTTTGAAATAACACACACAAGCTCTTCTGAAACAAAACATTTTCATGACTTTTCTGCACTTGAGCCAATTTCTTCAGGCATCCTGCCCCATATTTAAGAACCAAAGGCAAGATCCCCCCATTAGGTGTCTAGTGCTAAATTTTATGGCCCTGCACTTGAAAATATGTTCCTAAATATCTGCAACTCAGGCACCTGGAAATAAGTGTTTGCCTTTGGAGTGAACAGAAAAGGAAATAATCCCTGTATGTTATTTTTATTTTCTTTCCTTTATATGGTTTTAAGCTGCTTTTATGCGGCACTGGAAAGTTACAGCCCGTGATTTGTTGCATTCTGGTCTGCTAATAGAAACATCCCCCTGACTGCTGCTCACTCTGCGGAGCAGAAGGATCGTAATGCAGATTGTAAATGGTTGCATTACGGAGAAAGATAATGTTTCTTTCCACTTTCATTTCCCTGGGTTGGTGTTTATCGTGGTAGGGGTTGTGTAAGCACATGAGAGAGAGATCATGCATTATTTACCAGGCTGGAGCTGGGGAAAGGCTCCAGCCTTTCAGAGCGTGGATCAACGCCCAGCAATTCCCACCCGCTAAGATTTGTGCTGTGTTTGGTGGGAGCTGGGCTGGAGGATTGTTAAAGCAAACAGGATCATCCTGCCAGCCTGGAGAGCAGCAGGGGATGGGGCACAGGCTCTCTTCTCCCTCTGTTCAGCTCTGGACAGTTTATGTCATTATTTATTTCACACCTTGGCAAGACTGGACCAGAACTGCCACCAAGTCACCACAACCAACTCCTCCAGGTCTGCTGGGGCTCCAACACACCTGGACAAAATTTCTTGCTGTTGAATGTAGCCGAGGGCAGACAAAGCCGGAGATGGGGGTGACACAGGGGGAGGGAGAAGCCTTTCCAGCCCCAGGATTGTCCCCAGGATGCCACCGGGGCCAGTGATGGTGACCCAGTTTCTAAGCAGGACAGGAAGTTGCAACACTCTAAAGTTTATTATCATTAAACTCTAGCCAGTGTCAGAGGCTCTGCGTTTGTCCTTGCAGTGCTACTGCCAGTGCACATAAAAACTAACAAAATCAGCCACTACATGCTGGCAGCCTTGGGAAAGAATTTAAAAAATCCCCAAAACCAAGAAACAAACCCAGTGAAACTACTAAATAAGGAATAAGTTAATGAGGAAAAATTAAAAGGAACTGAAGACTTTAAAAACTCTTCCAAATTAAGGAGAACAAAGAGAAAGGATCAGCTCTTATTTTTGCAATTAAGGTGTTATTTATGGCAATTTAGCTGTTTTAAGACTAAGCCTGGATACAGTGCCACAGTAAATACATCTGATTTACTCCCAAGGCTTCTCCTCAGTTTGTATATGAGCTCCAGCCAGGCAGCCAAAAAGCAAGAGGAGTTCAGAACTCCCTGTGTGCACACAAAGCCTGTAGAACACCCCGAGGATTGCTCCCCATGCTGGACAGCTGCACTGTGACCACTGGAAACAATCCCAGCACTGGCACCAGAGCTGAGACACGGCACCCTCAGGGCAAGAACCTTCCAGGAATGAGAGAGAACATGGTGTGGGAGCAAAAGGGAAAAAAATAAAGATTCTGCTCTGTGTCTACATGCAACCTGCATGTGCAGAGGGTGGAAAGAGGGTGCTCAGGGGGGCACTCTGTGTGTGAGGGCAGGGATGCAGCCCCATGAGAGGTTTGGGGGCATTTACTGGGCAGAGCAAACAGCTCTGGCCTTTGCCCTGTCCCAGCAGAGAGGGAACCATCCTGTCCCGGGACTGTGCATCCTCCCCCAGGGACAACCCAGGAGAGCACTCCCCACGGGCTCAAGGGAGGGAGGGGTGGAGGATAAAGAAGCCAAGGAGCCCCTGGCAGAGCTCTTCTGCACCACACTTCCGTGCAGGGAGGAAGCACATCAATGACCATGACACCCCTATACATCTTTTGTTGCATTTTCTCCTGTTACAGAGTTGGAAACATCTGCAGAGAGCCTGCATGTTAAACATTAAGACTGTGCACATTGTTTTTAGGATTCAGCCCCAGACGCCTTCTTGGTTTTTCTACATATTAATAAAAACAATAAAGGAAATAAATAAAAAAGGATGTAAAGCTTTGTTAAAAACAGTTCAGAGAGGAGAGAGCCTAAGATGGGATAGTGATGGGAAAACATTCAACCTTGGCATGCTGCTGCTCACAGAGTCCCCTCTTTGAAGGAGGCATGAAAGGAGAGGTTGCAACATGAGAGTTCAAACTCTGTGCCTCTGTTGATTTTTCCAGCCCCCATGGCTGCCTGCCTCGGCATCCTGCTCTTTGAACCCACAGGGTAAATAGGTGTGGGCAGGAGATGTGCTGCCAGGAGGAGCACTGGGGGCAGGCAGGAAAAGGCCCTGCTGCCATCCTGGAGAGCAGCATGAGGCACTCAGAGCTGAAAAACGGGAGGAAGAGAGAGAGAGAGAGGAACAAAAGTCAAGAAAACTTTCCACAGATGAAGACCTCCTTGTGGATGACAGGGTCCCCAGGACTTGTAAGTAAACATACAGGTAATGGCTCTCCTGGGGATGGATGCAGGAGGATGTGAGCAGGAATGTGACAGAGATGTGTCAGCTTTCTACCAGCCCAGCAGAGCTGCTGCTGGCACAAGGGTTTAACTGGAGCACCTGGAGCTTGGCAGATGAGGAACCTGCTGACCAGGGCCTTAGAGGGTGTCGATTCAATTTGATTTTATTCAGATCTAACTGACCAGAAGATTCCTCTTCTCTTCATTCACCCTGTCTCAGCAGAAACATTTATTATGCTAAGTGAAATGTTTAACCACTGGCACTGTTGGCTGCAACAGCTCATCATAAGCAGCTTTAGCATTTGCTGGGATCAGCACCCTGGGGCTGGAGGTGGTGTTTTCCTCTGCCCAGTTACTCTTCCTCACTCCTCTCTCATCTCCCCTGCCCATTTTTCAAGTTCCAATGCGTTAAAATAAAAGTATTAACGGCGCTTATCTGATGCATGGGAGATTGTGAGAGCAAGCTGGCGAGCAGCCAGGAGCTAATAGCAGCATAAAGCAATTTGCTGAAAAAAAAGAATTAACATGCTAATTGTCAGGCTGGAGAGGTTGCCGGGGATCACAGAGGAGTAACAAAAAAAGAAAAAAAAAAAAAAAAAAGAAAAAAAAAAAAAAAAAAAAAAAAAAAAAAAAAAAAAAAAAAGGACATTGATTACTCTAGATTTAAACAATAAAATACTGAAGAAGAAAGAAAGGTTTTGAGGCAATTTTCTTCTTTTTTGTCCCGTTCTCTGCTACCCTCCCCCATCTCAAAACCTCCAGCCAGAGCCTCAGGCACTCACGGGAATTTATCCGAAGATCTCTTCCTTTTTAGCATCGTGTCAGTGCCAGCTGCACGGCGGGCTCGGGGCTGGTCGGCAGCAGCGCGCAGCCCTGCCCTGCCTGCCCGGGGCTGGAGCTGCGGCCGGGCAAAGCCGGGTCTAACACGGGTCTAACACGGGTCTAACAGAGCCGCGCAGCCCCAGCCCGCCTGGGCTCAGCCCAGCGCTGGGGGAGCCTCGCAAAGAACTGAATTCCCAGGGAACCTTTTTTGGGGTTTCTTTCTTGAACAAAGGGACATCGCTCTTTTTTTTTAATTGGTTTTTTTTGTTTTTTTTTAAATGTATTTCTCTCAAAGCAATGAAAAGAGTGCCTGGAAAGCTCAAGCAGAAAGCTCAGCCTCTTAACCCTGGCTCCACAGAGCGCCGTTAACTGGGATTAGGAAAGTCAACTAATGCTTCCCAGCGCCAGGATTTCAGCAGCACGGAGCCTCCCGAGGCACAGAACCGCGACGGCAAATCCGGCAGGATCCCCGGGCAGCGGCTGCCTCTCTGTGCAGATGCCGTTTAACCCCGGATTTCTGAGCATCCCACTTCTGCGAAGCAGCTGCAAAGCCATCGTGCCTCCCCTCGGCGGGCAGTGAGCGCTGCCAGCCCGAGCCCGGCTGCCCGGTGCCGGTGCCAGCCGGGCTGACCGGGCTCTGCTGTCCCCAGCCCGTGCCGGAGCGGGGCCCGGGGCTCGCAGCGCGCTCCCGGAGCTCCCCGCACATCCCTGCCCGGTGCCGGTGCCAGCCGGGCTGACCGGGCTCTGCTGCTCCCGGAGCTCCCCGCACATCCCTGCCCGGTGCCGGTGCCAGCCGGGCTGACCGGGCTCTGCTGTCCCCAGCCCGTGCCGGAGCGGGGCCCGGGGCTCGCAGCGCGCTCCCGGAGCTCCCCGCACATCCCTGCCCGGTGCCGGTGCCAGCCGGGCTGACCGGGCTCTGCTGTCCCCAGCCCGTGCCGGAGCGGGGCCCGGGGCTCGCAGCGCGCTCCCGGAGCTCCCCGCACATCCCTGCCCGGTGCCGGTGCCAGCCGGGCTGACCGGGCTCTGCTGCTCCCGGAGCTCCCCGCACATCCCGGCTGAGCCGCAGATGAGCCAGCGCATCTCCCCAAACCAGGCGTGCTGGGGGAACCGGGACCAGGACACGAGGTACCTGTATCATTTTTGATTAATATTTGTGGATAAATGCTGTAAATATGAGCGAAGAAGATTTAAAAGAAAGTCACTGAGCCATGCAAGTGAATTAATTTGCTTTAGACAACATGCGGCTGGGTTGCATCCTTTTACAAGCAGGAACATTATTTCTTTCCTATGCCAAAGACTGACTGCGTTTGTCTTCCTGTTTTACTTCTGCTGTGGAAGAAATTTAAGCAAGAACATGTATAGTGAATTGCTCAATTCAACCAGTGCCACCGAAGCTCACCTAATGATTCAGACCAACACGCCCTACCTGAGCAGCACTCCGAGACCCGTGAGCTCCTCTGCTCTTTACATGTCCACAGCCCGGGTGTTAAAAGAAGGGGAAATAAATAAGCCAGACCTGGTGACTTACATCATTCTATTTTTCTTTCTGTTCTTGACTGTGACATTCATTGTGTTCTTCATAAACTGCCAGCTGAAAAATTCTTTTTTTGCTACTCTTCCTTACGACAGATCGCTCAGGGAGGCGAGGAACCCGTGGAGGACACAAGCTGTCTGACACTTCTCGTTCCAGCGGGAGCAGGCACCACAAACCCCGTGAAAAAAGGAGTTAGTGCCATGTGCCAGTGCATGGATGTGACCCCCTTTAGAGTAGTGGGCAGGAGGAGATTGCTCAAAATTATGCTGTATGCCAATCTGAGTAGCTGTAAATAAAAAGCTCTGTTATGAACTGAAGAGAATGCTTTAGCAAATTGAGACAGTTTTTGCAAAAAATTGCCCCGTGATTCTAGATGGAGCTCTGTGTGTGTGCAAATGTCATCATCCACCCATTCAGTGTCCATACAAGGATAATTTCATTAACAACAATCTCTGATTTGGGCAGCTGGTGGAGCTTGTTCCCCCATGTTTAGAAAACCAAGCATCAAATATAAAAAACCAGTGTATTTACCTAACAGCTCCTGAGATAAGTTTACTTTCCAGACCCGTTTCTCCCAGCTGCTGGTGGAACTGCATGGTGATGCTGTGGGAGGCCTGCCAGGCAGGAGGAGAAAATGAAAAATGTTTATTTAGGCTTTTGATTGTCATTCTGTTAAGGGTGTTTGTGATGTTTGAATGCATCATCGATCAAGTCTTAAGTTACTACTTATGTGAAACTCTTACTGCCTAAGGAATTTATTTTCATCTTTCATAAGCTGCAAAGGAAATTATTTGCCACAGCATGAAACCAAAATAATCAGGATGGGGAGAATTGGGGAAAGAAAATTAATATATTTAATATTATGCAAACTAATGAAAAGCGTGAGCAGAGTGCTCCAAGTTTGATACACAACGTGGATAAGTTCTGAAAGCCATAAAACACAGCTTTATAGGAATAGTAGCTTTACTTTGCCACTCCTTGCTCTTCATCTAAACCTTGCCCAATTAGAAGCAAGAATTATCAATATGACAACAGCTTTATTCAACACTGGTCACTGACAACCCCTACCATTTCAAATTACTATCTGATTTTGTTCTAAAATCAGAACAAAAAACACTTCTGCTTAACACTGGTAGGTGACAATCTATTTTGTAGATGCTGATTTCTTGTAAACTTGCAGTTACAGCACAATTCCAGATGAAGCTGCATGAACGTGGGAAGAGTGTCCATAATTCCCACAAACAGAAGGCAAAGGGCTTGGTTTTTGTTGATTTGGTGGTTTTTTTGGTGGTGTTTTGGGTTTTTTTAATTGTTTTTTTTTTTTTTGGTTTTTTTTTTTTTGATTTTTTTTTTTTTTTTTTTTTTTGGGGGGGGGGGGGGGGGTTTTTTTTTTTTTTTTTTTTGTTGGTGGTGGTGGTGGTGGTTTGGTTTTTTTTTTGTTAATCAAATGGCTCAACATACTGGAGAATTGCAGCTATCCAGAAACACCCAGTCCTAAATTCTATTTTAGCTGCAGTTTTGGGTATTGGATCATCTGAAATGGGTTTCAGTGGTGTCAGGTGCTGCTCCTAACCCTGTTCTTGACCTGCAGAGTACTCCAGAGGAGCTGCATGTATATATGTGTACATAACTTATTTCATGCAAAGGAGGAGATTTTACAATGCAATTACACACACATACAGGCTTGCACTCAAGAACACAGACAAAATGTGTATATATGGAAGTCTGTTTGCAAGCTGCTTCTTTTTTAACCCAAGAATTGCACAGTTGATAACACTTCCATGTCATTGTCTTTGTTACCATGTTTTATTTTGCTCTAATAAGCTAAACTACTACATAACAGATTTCAATATTTTATTCCTTGATATGTGGCCAATATTTACTCTGAACCAAATTTAACTAGTGTAATTCCAATTAATGCAGAAAGCAACAATAAATGCAAGTGTATTTCTCTCAGCCCTTTTTGAATAAATCAAGTTTTATCAAATCAGGCATTTCTTATTTAATTTTAAGTAATGACAGCTTGTTTTCAGCTACCAGCCATAATGAGTTTGGTCTAAGAATTTCTGCTGGCAAAAACCTCAGAACCTGACAGAGCACATGTTGCTTTGCACTCTTTATTTAAATATTCAAGAATAGCTCCAGAATAATCCTATTTTTCTCCACAGCCTGGTTGGAGTAATACTACAGAAGAACCTGTCATGCTAAAAGTGTTAACTGATTTTCTGGGAATGCTTTTATCCATGTCCTGTGTTGCTCTCATCAATATCCAGGATCATTTATATTGCAGAAGAAAGTTTCATTAATGATATTCAGAATCATAGAATCCCAGAACAGTTTGGGTTGGAAAGGACCTTAAAAATCATCCAGTACCAACCCCCCTGCCATGGGAGGGTCATTTTCCAATGCCAGGTTGCTCCAAGCCCTTTCCAATCTGGCTTTGAGCATTTCCAGGGATGGGCACCACCACAATTTTAGCCAATGTACGAAACATGTGTAGAAAACTTTCTGTTTCACCAGGCTCAGAATTCAAGCTGACCAAAAAATCCACTTTCCAACCACAGGCACACCAGGGAGGGACTGACAGGCATTGCTTCACTTGCTGGAACAGTTTTATTGGATGTATGACATGTGTGGGGTCCCAGCATGGATTCTCCATCCCTTTCCCTCACTCTCTGCCAGTCACAGTCCTGCCCCTGACACAAACACACTGTTCCCTGCATCTTTGACTAAATCCCATTTTCTCCATGTGCCTTTTAAAGCCTCTGAGCAGAGCCCTGCAGCAGCCTCCCTCTCCTGATGGCTTTTCCTCAAGGAAGACTGGAGGTCAAGACACTGCAACACAAAAGATGAGTGAAACACCAGAAATCTGGGCCATGAGGCTGTGAGAAGCAGAGTGGTCCAGTCAGAGAAATTCTTAATGGTACAGGTTTTGCTTTCAAAAGATGAGCAGAGCAGGCCCTGTAACACTTTGAGGAGCATTCACACATTTCACATGCATGGCTAAGCGCTCTGCTGAATCAGGACCTGAGAGGTAAAGAGGGTTCTACTTCTCCCTCTGGGCCAGGGAAACAACTCATCACTTCCACCTGGCAGCAGTGACATGCTTTGAAGCTGATGCCAGCCTTTCAATGGATTATTATTATTGTGATATTTCATTCTGTTGTAATATTTCATTCTGTTTGAACGCACAGGCAGTGCCCACAGGGAGTTTGCCACAGCCCTGTACTGAGTAACCAGGGAGAAACCTCCAGCTCTGTGCTCCTCTGGCAGGGCATTCCACTGGGAGCTCACCCATCCCACTGCTCTGCCTGAACACTGGGCTTGTTAACATTCTGGGGCCCCAGCAGAACCCATCCTTCTTCTCACATTTCCTGCTCCAGGTGGGCTTCCCCATGAGCATTTGTCCTCCTGCACTTCCCCCTAAGAAAAATCAGGAGCTGAGGGTTTTCTGTACCCCATGCCACATGGCCATGACAGTTTCTGCTGGAAAGAGCTCACCTGAAGGACTCACAAGTCAGTCAAACTGCAGAGCAAGACAAAAGGCAAAGAATAAATCCTAAGAGCTAAATATTCCGTGTCTGTCTGGGGTGTCAGCCTGGTAACCAAGCCAGTGCTGCACGGCAAGGCTGATCATGTGGCGTGATCACACTCTCCAAACCTGTATCAAACCACTGGGGCCGCTGCAATTTGTAACGCACTTGCTTTAGAGTTTCTTCCAGCAGGTTCAAGCCCTGGTGACAAGCAGCTGCCCCACTCCCACAGAGCAGAGTGTGGCCAGAGCTGACCCTAGCAGATGAAAAGGTTCAGTTCAGCTCTGCCAAAGCAGTGACCCCACTGAGCACTGCTCTGCCCATGGTCCTTGCTCTCCTACACATTTTGAGAGCCAGGAGCTTTACCGACCTGATATTTGAAACATTTAATACAATGGAAGATATATCAGACTGAGATGGTGAAAGGAAGAGACCTGTATTGTGCTCATAGCACATTTGTGTTTAGGAGGTTCTTTATTCCAGAAACTACATGTATAAGTAGAGAAGTTTGCTCTAAATCCATTAATCCATACAGAAAGTCTCCAGGGCAACAAGGTACACAGTAACATATTTTCAAGATGTTTTTCCCCTTCTTGCCCTCCTTTTTGCCCTCCTGGTATCATAAAATTCTTTCCTGCATGGCTGAGCATCTGCATAGAGCACCAGTGGTGAATTCTATTCAAGAACACAGCCTGGTCACTCCTAAGTTTGCACTTTTAAGTTTAATATACTGCATTTACCTCAATTTCTTAGAGGAAACTTAAGAATTGCTTCTATTAAAATCTTTTAGTGGCACTGCTCACCAGAGACCTGAAATCTTAGAAAAAGTAGTCTCCATTTGGCTCTTGCAGAATAGAGCCCATTTTGTCTGTTTTGTGTCTGAAGTGAAAGTCACACACACAGCTCAAAGCTGTCTCAAGTGGCTCCTCAGTTTGCCATCAGCAGTTTCTCTATGAGACTTCAGAAAAATCAGGAATTGCAAGAGTGACTGGGTTACACAGCACTTATAATTTAGTCCTGGAAATAAATTCTGTTATTGCAAACAACAAAGTTATTTCTCAAAAAGAGAATGGGGAAAAAAAGGATATTTATAAACAACAAAATAAAACTGGCCTTAGAACAGAAAAGCTGCTAATTTAAAAGGTGTGGGTTTTTCTTCCAATGCCTTATGGAAAAAAGGAGCCCTGCAAGAAGCTGGAACACAGAATGGCTGGACATGACCCAAAGCTTCTATCCCCCAGAAAGTCACCCTTCAACCCCCTCATCTCACACCTCTATGGGAGTGAAGTAGTCTTACAGAATTTGTCTTCAGGAAGGAAAATGTTATCTAAGTACACTTATTTCTGAACACAAGTTGGAAGCTTAATTTCAAGACCTAATTCTGAAAAAAAATTGATTTCACATTAATCTGCCGGTGTGTATAAACCCCACCTGCCTTTATGAGACTTTTACCTTGCCCTCGCTGTCCCACATCTCCTGTAGCCGGAACATTTCTGTGCCATGGTCCCTGTCTGTGCAATCCCCACCTGCAGTGCAGCAGCTCAGTCTCTGCTAACTCAGAGCATCCCTCTGCTGACAGCCAAACCAGCTCCTGCCTGAGGCAGGGGG